ATTTTGGACCTTTTTTTACAGAAATGGTACCTTTTTAAACCAATTTTGGTACAGAAAAAAATTTTCAAGTGGCAACCGTGATTACATTATCTCCCAATTATATTATTTTTTTGAAAATAAAACTTTCTAAAACCATATTGCAAACATTTATGTTGACATCTCACGATAATCCATCTATTGTGGATCATTAATATAAGGACATTGAACACTTGATTTGTGTTAAAATATTTATGAAATTTCGCACAACCCAATTGTTTTAAATCGGAATTATTTCACTTCACTTTGAGTATTTATGTTCAATTAAATTTTCAATTCACATAAATTTGACAGCATGATTGATGTTTTAAACGTCGTAGTGACACTTTTACATCCAAAAATATTCTCTCTTTAATTAATACATGTCACAATTAACAAGCAGAGCACTGAATTATGGTTCCATCGGCACAATTTTGGGACATGAATTGACACATGGATTCGATGACAGCGGTCGCATGTTCGACAAAAATGGTAATATGGTGCAGTGGTGGTCAAATGAAACTATAAATGAATACGTCAATCGTACTGAATGTTTCGTAGACCAATACAATCACTACTACTTGAACGATATTGGGGAATATGTGAGTATTTAATTCGAGGGAAAGTAATAACGATTTAATTTAAATGAGCTTTTCATTTACAGATTGATGGTGAACTTACTTTGGGTGAAAATATAGCAGATAATGGTGGTATGCGGGAGGCATATCATGCATATAAAATCTACACCAAACATACAGGTAGAGAGCATTTACGACTTCCCGGTTTGGAGCGTTACACACATGAGCAATTATTTTTCATTGCATTTGGTAATTTATGGTGTGAAACTTATACGCCAGCGGCGTCCCGTTATGCCTTGGAGGACTCGCACTGTCCGGGTAAAATTCGTTTAAAAGGTGTGCTCTCCAACTCTGATGAGTTCGCACGCACTTTTAAGTGTCGCAGAGGTACGGGCATGAATCCAATGGAGCATAAATGTCGTATATGGTGAAAATCTACAATGTTGTTATAAAAAGTGACAAAAAGTGATAAAAGAAGCAGTAATGAAGTGATGCTATAAAATGATTTTAAATACATTTTAACTTGTTGTGGGTAATATAGTAAAATTGATATCGTGAAACGTAAAGTATTTGAAATTGCACTGAACAAAAGAAAAAAAAATTAGGAATTTTTAATACTTATGTTATAAAAAAATTGTTTTTTAATAGATTTTAGTACTACAAGTCTAATATTTTCTACTTTGTATACCAATTTTAAGCTAATTTTATACACACATATATATGTAAATATTTTATGAAATTAATAAAAGAAAATTGTTTGCTAAAAGTACTAAATAACTACAATAAAGAGGAAGAGTGCTCTGTTATAAAATTATTAATGTTCCATTGTCAACTTTGACATGGGTTTGCAATAGTCAAACCATTTTACACTCAATTTAATTTTATGTATGAAAACAGCAATTAAAAGTTTACACTGCGTAGGCTTAAACTGTGTAAGCGACCTTTTCGTTACACCCAACTTAAAATATTCGTACACATCACAAAATGTTAACAATAGCAGAATTTTAAAACAATTTCTAATAAAAGCTTACTCTATTCTGCCATTTAGCTTAGCATTATCCTTTGTCCTTTTCAATTGCTATCAAATATAACGACGCATAGTTTCCTTTGTAAGTTTGTTATTGTAACAGCTGCCATTTGATGCTCGTTAGAAACTGCAAAATTATAAAATCCTTTTCAAAAAAGAAACAAAAAAATAATAATATTTGTATATGAATATAAGGAATTTTTGAATATGCAAAACATTTTATTGCTCTATCATGTAAGGCAAAACTAGTAGCTTAGCTTACTTTTTAATAAAACCAGACATTCACAGCACTAAACTTATAATCTCTTGTAGAAAAAGTGAAATCCTTTATACGCACATATGAATCCTTTATGTAAATAATTTGCTTTTTTTATTGTATTTGTATCTTGTCAAAAATTATTGCCCTACAAAACTGACTGACATCATAAAAATTGTAACCAAGTTCATTTTAATCCTTTGTCATCTGAGAGTATTTCCACATATCCTTTGTGTAATCTTATCCATGTGTTTATGTTGGACTTTTTTCCTTTATTGTTACTTCTAAACACATGTGCTGAGACCTTAACGCCTCTCACATCCTCAAATTTTAAATAACATCTTCACTTGTTTTGTATTCAATTCTTCCTCGTGCTTGTTAAACATTTCATTAATCCTGCATTTGGTTACCTTTTTAAGGGATTAGCAAACATCATTTCGGCTATGACAGGAATTAAAAATTCTGTTTCTGTAGCAGAAATCGCTTGCCATCTTCCGTGAAGAAATGAAATTCAAATATTTAAGCAACACGCAGTCTGTTATATTATAAATTATTTAAATATTTCTTAAAAATTTATAATAAACTGACACAAAGAACCTGAAAAGGAAGACGAAGGAGATATGTAGTCCCATAATCGCAAAAAAAGTTTATTTCTCTTACAGTAGAAAAATTTAATATTAATTCCAAATACTTCTGTAATTAAAAGTGTGCAAAATAATTTTTTTTTTTTATTAAAATAATATCCTGAATAAAGTGGGAAAATCAAATATAAAAGTGTCACTTTAAAAAGGATATGAATATTGTAAAAGCATAAGAATAATATAAAAAGTATAAGTCAGAAAATATTTTTAGAATTTATTAATTAAAATTCTGAGATGATATAACTGCTGAGATATTCTTATAGCTGCTATAAGCACGACTAAGTAATATTAACGTTCCATAACGACCACAAACGCATTTGGTTTTATATACAAACCGCTACGAGTTACTTTAAGATAAGCTTTTTCTTTTTATTGTTGCATAGGTTAACCGCAAAATCACTACTCTTAACAGTTCTCCGACAATTTATATACAAATCTCAAGAAACACGAACATTAGCAATAATGTCATAGACATCCGGGATATACTGGTGCATGCGGAAACGAATACGCAGTTAAACTAGTCAGGAGAGAAGCAGCCACACCAATAGTGGGACCGGAACATTTCTGTGAATTAGAACGCAATACCCACTCTTCTCTTATAGAAATGGAGGAGAACCAAAGGAAGGACAAAGAGATTACTAGGATAATCTACCAGGACTAACATAATCCAAATCACTTATTGGTATCGGAACATTTCTGTGGATTAGGATACCATACCCTCTCTTCTCTCATAGAAATAAAGGAGAACCAAAGGAGAACAAAAATAATTACTGGGATAATCTCCCAGGAATAATTCAATCCAAATCACTTATTGGTACCTATAACAATAGGAGATAGCAGGATTGTAAGGGCTTATCAAGAGAAAAACTTAGAATCAACACAGGAATCTCAACAGAACATTTTAAACTAAAAAATTACTGCACGAGACTAGGTATAAATTCTGAAGTAAACTGTAAATTCTGCAAAGAGAAATAAAAAGTCAGCCAAACATCGTTTGTTTAAATGCCTATGCTAATGCATATATGGAATAGACCTCTGGGAATGTAAACCCTTACGGAAGAGGTAATAAAACTCTACAAAGTAGATTCTATATTTTTTTTTTATCAAAGCAACAGGGCTTAAAACCCAGAAGAGTACATAATAGACTAGACGGACGCAGTGCCACATCTCATATCAATTATAATAATAATGATATACACATTAACGCTTCATGCATGGGTCGCAAATAGAATGTATTATGAATAATTATGAAGAACGACTATACTCATATTCCCATTGATTCATTGTGATCCATTGTGGATGCCACAGAGAAATCGTTTCTATGAGGTTACATCTTCGATTATTAAGATTTATGGTTTCTGTTTAGAATTAGAACACTCTGTATGATGCATTATTAGACAGAAGAGGATATTAAGTGGTGCAAAAAGATTTGACTTATTTGATTAAGAGTATTTGTGGAACGATATGGTAGGACTAGTTTAATGCTATAATTCTAAATTTAGAAACATATGCGCAAGTTAATTTTAGGTTTTTTTTTCCTCGGATATGCAACGGTCAAGCTGACAATTAAACAAAAATGTCGAAAAATAATTAAAAAAAGATTTAACTGATGAAAACTTCTATCAAATTTCAAGATCGATTTAGTCTTGAAAAAAACTAGTCAACTGCTTCGATCAAAGCGTAATAGTATCGTATGGTGCAATGATTTCTGTTCTGATATCGCATGAGAATGGATTTTTTCTGTTATGGCTTTTATTGAACTTATGACTCATGGATTTTGTGGACAGTGAGCTTTACCTCATGTCTCAGTGTCCATAGTTGGCTAGGAGAAGATTTAAAAGAGTTACGGCTCTTTTTCTTGTCGATCTGACAGTGGTATCATCCTGCAAAATTTGGAATTAGTTTACTTTCATTTGTAGGGAAGAGGTGTGCGGTTCAGCATTGTTTGTATACTAAAAAATGCGATTCTTCTGGTTTGCAAATGAATAATGTTTTTCCATGTTATCAAGTTTTTCCATGTTATGATTAATTTTTCATAGCTTCATATGCTTTATTACTATGTGAATTTATATTGGTTTCAACTATAACATCTTTAGCAGAACTCTTTAATATATTGAATTGTTATGAATTATTTGTCAGTGATTATAGTTGGGAGGTTATAATTCAAGGTTGTAATATACATAACTTTTTTCAAGATTTTCAGATAGCTTTCACTGTGAAGGTTTTAAACTGTGAATAACTGTGTAATTTAATACTTGGTTTCGATCCTCCTTCCGCTTTAACTAACAATTAAAAAAATAATTATTTTTCTCAGCTGTTTTCTTTCAATCAAATGATATAAAAATTATTATTGAAAATAACAATATAGAAAATAATTTAATGCAAGCAGCTTTATTTATCAATTTTCTCTTAAACATAAAGCTGAATGCTGATATCGTACACATTTATTATACTAATTTTACGTATAATATAATTAACAGATTTAATTACAAGAGGTGGAATCCATAATAAGAAGATTACAATATACATTTGCATTACAATTAATTACAATTACCATTACAATTATAATTACTAATACATTTACAACTACAATTACCATTAAATTACGATTACAACTACAATTCGATTACAATTACAATACTATAGCAATAATACATTTATATTGTATGTTAGCAGGACTCATATATACACTTTTGATAAATTTACACTGAAATGCCTTAAAACACATGTAGAGAGACGATACAATTTATTTATTTAATTTATATTTTATGAATTATAATTAATTAGCACTTAAATACTTGAATAACAAACCGCAATTGGTTATAGTATTTGGAGTTCAAAATTCGTCTAATAACAGAAAATTGTTGCATTTTGTGCAAATTTGTATAAAATCAATTAAACTAACTTATTATGAATTGCGTCATTGTTTCAATCCAAATATGTGGAATGATAAATTCTATTTCCTCTAATTCCAATATTCCTGTAGTCATTTTGCTTCATTAAATTCTCTACACAAAATCAACGAACGATGGATTACATGAACTGCGTTGGATCGTTGACTTTGCGTTTATTGGGCTGGCACTACCGCAATACTGTGGTTTCCGCACATGAAAATTGACTCTGCAAAATAAAATAAATGAAAATTGTTTATAAATTAGCATAAAATTTTCTTATATTCACTACATTCTAAAGCAAAAATATAGTATATGTGAATATGCAGTTGCGAACTGCAACCATACGTGAAGGTCTGTTATGTTTGTTTTGGGAGTGTATGAGGTTCAACAGTGCGTATGAGTACTGCGTTTAATATTTTTCATCGCAATTTGTTAGTAAATGAAATTTATAATAATAAATTTTAATAAAAGAATAGTTTATGATGCTACGCTTTAGTCACTGTTTTCAATTATTAAATTTATTTAATTTTGAAAATTAATAAAATAGTATTAAAAATATAAAAATGGTAAAGAGCGTAATTTAAATTAATTATGAAACATTTTTTCGATGATTTTAAGTTCATGATTGGGTTAATAGAAGAATATTTAGCACTATAAGAGGCTATAATTATTGTTATCAAACTATAAATCATTGTATTGTATAATACCTTATATATATAATACATTA